GACCCCAGGGACAGACTCACCGGCCTGTACTGTGGTTTTCAGGCCTATGCTCAGCCCTGCAAGAGAGTCTCTGTGAGAAATTTGCCCTGAATCCTGAGCAGAACCCTCCTCCCCAGGAGTCACCTGAGTCCTGGGGTCCTCACAGAGCAGGGCTTCCCTTCCCTCCCCCTCACATCTCACCAAGGCAGAGCAGGGCCATGAGGCTGGGGGCCATGGTGTCTCCTCTCTGAACCCAGTCATGCAGAAAGAAGAGACCAGGGTGTCCTGAGGGTGATAGACACATAGGGCATAGTCACTGGGTGGTTGGCCACCCCTGTCCTGGAGTTGTCATGTCAGCAGCCCCTCAGGAAGGGGTCTTGTTTTCCTGGAAGTCCACCTCTCATTCTTATGTTGGAGGAAAAAATAAAAGTGGAGCCTCCTGAGATGCCCCTTGCAGGTGAGGTGATCCAGGACACATCCTTCCAGCTCAGAACCTCCCTCATGGGCCCCTTCATCCATTGCCAGCTTTCAGTACCTCCTTGTGGGTCCTCACCATGGACAGTGGGCACCCAGGCCCTGGAGACACTTCTGGAAGACAGGGGTCCCTGTGCCTGCAGAGGTCAGCTCAGCAGAGACAGAGTCTCCTCCTCACTGTGCAGTACAGGTGAGTGTCATTGTGACAATGACCACAAAGGACAGATACAGAGGAACAGGGAAAGGAAACACACCCTTTTCCAAGCCCCAGAGTGAGGCTTTCTTTCTACCACAGACACCCTCACTGAGTTCTCATTTTTCTTAGCAACAGCATCCACCCCACCTTCCTGGGGACAAGCCTCTGAGTGGTCCCTGCCCCCTCAGTGCCCCTTGTTTCCTGGTTCAACCCCCCCTCCTCATGCTGTGGTCCTGCTTTCAAACATCACAGGATATTGATTGGGTTACAGTCCTGATTTTTCCTTAAAGCAGATATTTACTTAAATACTCATCATCCAATGTCCATGTGTCCTTGAGAGGTAAAGTCCTGTCTCTGCCTCAGTCTCCTCATCTGGATCATGTTGTCACAAACCCCAGTCCCCACAGTGTCTGTGGGTCAGTGGTGCTGATTCATGGGAGGGAGACATCCATTTCCAGACCAGATGAAGATGTGAGTGGTCTGGGACATGGGAAGATCAAGGTGTCCAGGGTCAAGGGCAGGATTGTAGCACCCACTGGAGACCTTGTCTACTCTGGATTCCAAGCACAACTACTCACAATGGCTCTACATTGTGTAGGTACACACATGTCTAGGAGAGAGAGATGAAAGATCCACAAATGGAGAGGGAACCACAGTGGAGAACAGAGACTGAAACTGAGTGGACTCCCAGTGACTGGGACCATCCACAGGTCACAGGGAGGAAATTCCCCTCCTGAGTGGACAGAGAGCAACCCCAGGACTTCACAGGAAGGGGGTCAGGGAGCAGGTGAAGGCTGAAAGTGTGGTTCCTGCCCCGTGTTTGTGTGCAGGCTCTGGGATGTCTCTGACCAATCACACAAGTTCATGGTCAGCAGTGAGCAGTCTCCCCTGTGTGTCCTGAAACAGACTGAGTCCAGTATGTAAGTCATGGGTGTCTGCCCTGTGTATGTGTGAGAAGCCCCCGTTGGACCGCCCTGGTGGGCAGAATGCTGAGTAGGTGCTGAGTCTGAGAAAGTTCATGACATGGGGCAAGGGCAGCTGTCACAGTCCCTGGTCAGCCTGATGCCCAGGACAGCCCCTAAGAAACTAAGGGAGACCAGGTGTGTGAGGGGAGAGATTCCTACAAGAGTGGACAGTAGAGAAATCTCAGTGATGAAACACAAAGCTATGGACACCATCCACTGATACTGGGGGCTGTCACAGGCAATGAAAGAGAGTCAGTAAGAAATATGAGAGCAATGGAAGATGATCACATGTAAATATCTGAAAAAGAAAGGGAGGATTTAATTATTTGAGTCAGGAGTGTAAGTTGTTTTACAGAAGAATATAATGAGTTAGAAATCTGACAGATAAAAACCAGATAGATGGACACATTAAAACAATCATTCCCATCATGGATGAGGCAGAGCTGGAGGTCCAATTATGAAAGTGGAGTATGATAGTGAGGACAGGTCTAGAATACATCATAGGGAGACCAGAACTCAGGAATGTGGGTACCAGAGATTAGATGGGCCAATGTCATATTGATTATGTCAGAAGGGAAGAAGTCAACATGCTATTTAGTAACAGCTCCAGAGATGGATATTCAAACATTTTACAGAGATGTGGAAAGACCAGCTAGTGAGAGGGGCATGTATGCAAAACTGACATCTGTGACTTGACCTTCTGTGGTAAATGAAGAAATTGGAGGTTAAATAAAAACACAAAGACGTATTCTACACTGAATTGTACACGTTAAAATTGTTAATTTTAGTCCTAGATGGTAGCTCAGTTGGTTAGAGCATCGTTCCAGTATGCCAAGGTTGTGGGCTCTATTCCTGGTCAGGGCACACACAGGATGCAACTGATGAATGCTCAATGAGTAGAACAACAAGTCTAGGTCTCTCGCTCTCTCAAATCTATAACAGTCGTGGGGGATATGGAGAAAACTGTACTTGAACAACAATTTAAAAAGTTAAAATGAGAAAATCAAATAAATAAAAATGAAAAAAATTTTAATCAGTTAAAATTTTAATCAGTTAAAATTTTTTATGTCAGTTTCAACTCTAATGGCCTGGGATCCTGAATTACTTCCTAGAGAAAGTGCACATCACCATAGTGACAAGCTCGCTGGGACCAGACTCCTCTTAGCAAAGAGTGACACCAGGAGACAGTGGGGACACATCTTCCAGGAGCCAATTGTTAGTGAAGATTGTGCACAGAGCCCCATTAGCTTTAAGGGACAAGGTGACCATGTCAGCCAGGCCAGTCCTTAAGTGGGAGTCTGTGTCTCCTCCCAACCCCACACAGTGAGGCTGAGTCTCCAGGAGAGAGAACAGATTTCTGGGGAGAGAGACTTAACCACAGGGGACGTTTTTCTTTCTGAGGAGTTGAATCACATATTTTAACTGAAATTGTAAAGTGTTTCCTAGTTCCTTGATAAAGAAAGTGAGACTGAAATAAGGCCTTTCTAGAGCAGCAAGTTTTTAGATATTGTCCTATGTTCACACTTGTTGAAAGGAGTGGAAAGTGATGTAATTCAGTTAGAAGAACAAAGACATGAAACTGGAGAAAGTGAGATGCAGCAGCAAAGGAAAAGGGCAAAAACAAAATAGAAAGAAAAATGCTTAATCTCTATCATGTGATCCACAAATTTACATAATATTTGACATGTCAACTGCATGGAAAAATAAAACTCGTTTCTAAAGAAGGAAATGGTGTCACAAACTACATGGGTGTATCTGAAAGAAAAGAGAAATAAACAAGTCACAAAAGAACAAAACAAAACAAAAACCACAGACACTTTTATCAACCACATCACCCCACCCCACCCCATCCAACTTGCAATCTCGCCCAAGCTGGTTCCAGTGGTTTTTCCATTTGAATGGCCTCTCTTGCCTCACACTTCAGACTTTCCTGAAATCTCTCAAACCACTAGCACCGAAACCCCAATCAATGTCCTAGTGAATGGGGCACAGGTACACATTTTGTCTAAGGCAGGTACTTAAAGGTAGAGCTGTGTGTCTAACTGGGTAAGTGTAATATATTTTGCTCAATTGGTGACTATAATTTGCCCACCTACAAGTGAAGTATTAGAATGCTATCAGCTCACTGTTCTCCCCCCAAAGGGATGGTAGGATTTTCCCCTTGGCATCTCATCTACATGCCTTGAGACTGTGGTCCTGTACTTTCGTGAAAAATCAGTTACAACACTTCTAGCTGAACAGAAGCCCCACAACTGTTTGTACATTGATGTAGAAATGATCCTTATACATAAAAGGGCAGGAAGCTTAGGTGCACTCTGGGGCTATCGACTGGTGTTATTGGTGTCCCACACTGGCTTGTACTTTCTGTGAAAGTCAGTTTGTGAGTCACTTCCCTGACTCTGCATCAGAACTTCACAGGGGCACCTCCAAGTTGGCCACAAAGAAAACATAGATACCAGAAATGGGAAAATGCCAAGAACCAGGTTTTATTAAGAAGAATTCATTGGGTGACATCAGTAATAGAATCATATACGTCTCAAGTGTGCAGTACTCTAATACATCATCTGTACACTGCACTGTGTTTTTAACACTGGGTTTTCCTGGCTAGTGTAACCCAGGTGATCCCTTCAAACAAACACATCTTGATTTCCCCCTGGCTGGTGTTGTTCTGTTTGTTGGAGCATTGTCCCATAACCAAAACTTTGTGGTTTTGATTCCCAGTCAGGGTAGATGCTGAGATAGCAAGTTCAATCCTCTGTCCAGGCATGTAGGGGATGCAACCAATCACTGTTTCTTTCTCCCTTCCTCTCTCTCTAAATAAGCAATGAAGAAGTGTCCTCAGGTATTGCCTTGATTCCAAGTGAGGAGGTTCCTGAAGAAAGTCCACAGGTGCCACCTGAGAAAAGGTGAAGGCATGTGGGGTCCAGAGAGGGCACTTGGGATTTATCTCATATGGCCCTAAATGTGTGTGATGTCAGCTCATGGATTTATTAAAATAGATTGCATGCTGTGCACTGAGTTGATAGGTACTCCATATGAACCTCAACATGTGTGTAATTAGAAAAAAAGAAGAACAAATGTATTACCTGAAAGTTCAGAGAGGTGTGGACATGACCATGTCATGTGGGAACCAACACTAATTTAATTGAAATGGAAAAAGGTAGGAACCAGACACATGACTCAACAATGGTCAGGAAAGGATGGGCTGAATTTAATGGCTGATGTGTCCAGACCTTGTCCCCCTGCATATGACCAATGAGTCCTCCATGTGCAATGAGCTGCAGACAGGTCACTCGGGATGCCCCAGATTATCTTTCAGAAACTTCTGGGTTCATGACTTCATTTCCAAGGCTTTTACTCTGAATGGTGCTCCTTTACCTCTGTGTTCAGGTCCTGGAGCCAGCCTGGGCCATTCTCTCGCTGTCTTGAGCCTGAAACAGCAGCACCCCGAGGACCACCAAGACCAGCAGAGCCACACCCATGCGGATGAGATTCCCCACTGTGTAGTCTTGGGGGTGGGAGTCTAGAAAATGTGAACAAGAGGTCACAGAGGTCACAGCAGACAAAGTCACCCCCAGATCCTGGATGCCCACTCAGTTCACCTGTCTTCCCCTGAGATACAGGACCCTCTGCACCCAGTCCCAGAACTGAGGATTCTCCTACTCACCACCCGTGTTGTCTGAGCTGTTGTGTGATGGGCTGATGGTGTTGGCTGCTCCTTGAAAACCATGAAATGGGCGCATGAGGAGTTGATGCCACTCAAGCCAATTGTCCTCAAAACTCTCCTGTTCCTTATTATGTGACTGCTCCCAGTCCCTTTGTGAACGTTTTCTCTGCTGTGAGGGTCCTGTCTGCTGTCATGGGCCCTGTCAGTCTCCTGGGAACTTTTCAGTGAAGGCTATGCTTCTTAGGCCCTTTGAGACATAGGTTGTCTTTGCCCCAAGAATTCAGGTTTGGTGAGAAATGTGGTCTCTCATGACAGAACAGAGTATGTTCTACAGAGTAGAACTACAGAGTAACTACAATTGTAGTTAAATAGGAGCAGAATCACCTTTCATAAGGCAGAAATGTTTATAACTCAAATTAATACATGCAAGTACTGCCTAAGAGTTCTCAGAAAGAAGCAGGAACAGACAAGAGCACCCAGAACCACAAAGCAGACAGGGGAGTCCTCAGTGTGGGTGGGAGCCCTCAGCTCCTCCTGAGCCTGACACAGCCCCTCCTCACTGTCAGGTGAGCACTGAGTGCTGGAGGCTCAGGTGAGCCATGGGATCTGCAGATTGGGCTCCCAAGGAGGAAGCTGGTCTGTATGGAAGAGGGTCCAGTGGGGGCTGGGACCCCAGGGGCTCAGACTCTGAGATGAAGATGCAGGGGGTAAGTGGGGGAGGGGATCTGTCCTCTGCTCAGTCTAATCACCTTTTTGCTCACCTCACACATCTCATTCCACTCTCCTGCCCTTTCTCTCTGCTGAGATTCAGAAAAGAGGGCTCAGGGGTGGGAGACCCTGTCTCTTTCTACCTGTCAAGGGTGGATGCACCCCTGTGGAGCCTCCTGCACTCCTCATTTATTTCTGTCCCCAATTTTCCTAGGGTCAGGACCCTGAGCTAAGCAAACACAGAAAGTATAGGGTCCGGGGCACCTCACCTGACACCAGGAGCTCCAAGGGTTCACTGGGCTGTGACCACACCTGGGGGATTTGCCTGTAACAGCCATAACATCTGAATGTCCACCTGTGGCTGGGAGTCACAGGGCCCACAGGAAACTGGACCTGAAAGTTCAAATTCAGGTGTCGTCGTGAGTCCAGGGTCCAGGAGAGCCTGTTCTTCTCCTTCCCTAGTCAGAATGAACCTGTCAAATCCCTCCCATGAGCCACACTGGAGGGTCACATTCCCTCCTGAGGTCACGGCAGGGCTGGGCAAGGCGAAGAGGCTGGGTTTGTAGTAGGAGAATCCTGGGAGAGAAGGAGGTAGTGTGTTAAATGGGGCTCACACCTCCCTACAACCCCCAGGGCTGGGCTGTGAGGGGGAGACCCCCTGAGACTATCTCCCTTCCTGAGGGCAGAGCCTGAGGCTGGGACCCCTGAGTGTCCTGTCACCTGTCACCACCAGCTCCAGAGGGTCACTGTGCTCTGACCAGACACCTTGGCTGAGATAATGACACTGATATCTCCCTGCATGTTGCTCTGTCATCTGTGTGATGGAGAACTTGGCCTTGTTCCCGGGATCCAGTATCTTCTGTGTGTCCCAGGGTGCTGGCCTTCCTTCTTTATCCAAGTGGAACTCCTGGGCCTGAAGGGTCCCCTGACACCAGAGGGTCACAGGGCTATCCCCTGGGAATCACAGAACTTGGCTCAGCCCAGAGAGTGGGTTTGCAAGGGTCTCTAGAAGGAATCAGAGGCTGGGTCACAAGATATTCATCCCAAGTCCCCAGATCACAGCCTCAGGACCCTCCCAGATGTCCCCCAACTGTCATCCCAGATCTGATTTTCTGTTTTTTTTTGTTTGTTTTATAAACATCTTTTTCTTTGCTTTTAGAGAGAGAGGAACAGAGGGAGAGAGCAAGCTCAAGAGAGGGAAACATTAATATGAGAAATGTCAGGTTGCTCCTCTGCAGTAGATTTTGACCAGGAATTGAGCCCACAATCCTTCACTTTGCTGGACCACACTGAACCACTGAGGCACCCAGCAAAGTGTGTGATCTTCTCCTTTTTTAGATGGTCAGGCTGTGCCCACTTGTCAATGAGAAAGTAAAACCTTGTAGTTCTGGGAACAGACTCACCTGTCTGCACTGGGGTCCTCAGGCCCACGCTCAGCCCTGCCAGAGAGTCCCTGTGAGACATTTGCCCTTAATCCTGAGCAAACCTTCCTCTCCAGGAGCCCCCCTGAGTCCTGGGGTCCTGACAGAGCAGGGCTTCCCCTCCTCCATTCACATCTCACCGAGGCAGAGCAGGGCCATGAGGATAGGGGGCATGGTGTCTCCTCTCTGGTCTGGCTGTTCAGAAGGAAGAGACCACAAAGTCTGCAGAACAGAGAAACAGACTGGGTGTGGCCAGTGGGAGGCTGTCCCTACTTGTCTTGGTGATGTTACCTCAGCAGTACCTCGAGAAGAAGAACAGTGCCACACCAGAAGCCTGGTTGTTGTTTCCAGGATCAAGCAGCAAACTGATTTGGAGGGTCCTGAGATGCCCTTTTGCATCTGAGGTGACCTAGGGCATGTCCTTACAGGTTAGAAGCCTCCCTGAAGGGGTCCCCTTCACCCTCTGCCCAGCCATGAGCACCTCCCTGTGGGGACCTTGATCACCCAGGCCCTGGAGATGCTTCAGGAAGATGGGGGTCCCTGATGCAGAGATCAGATCAGCAGAGACAGGGTCTCTGTCTCACTGCAGTTCAGGCAAGAGTCACTGTGACAATGAGCACAAAGGACCAATACAGGGAAATAGGGAAGGACACATGCCCCTTCCCCGGCCCCGGGGTGTGGGTTTTCTATCACAGCCACCTCATGAATTTCTCATTTTTCTTAGCCAGAGTGTCCACCCACACCTTCCAAGGAACAAGGTTGACTCATTCCTGCCTCCTCAGAGCCCTTCTCTCTTGGCCAGAGCTGCCCCCTCATCTTGTGGTCCTACCCTCTGCTCTTCTGCTTTTGGGGACAATGAGTGAGTTAGTGTTCTAATTTTGGAGACAAAGCTCATTCTTGTTTATATGCTCCTCCATCATCCACTGCCCTTTTGATATCCCACAATAACATTGAATCTCTGAGCCTCAGTTTCCTCACAGGCAACATGTTGTCATGAACTCCACTCCTCAGAGTGGATGCATGGTGGTTGTGCCTGGGACATGGGAGGGATCAGTCCTCGTTGGATTCCAGATCTGATGGAGATGTGTGGGCTGAGATGTGAGAACATCAATGCTTGTGACTCCATAGTCAAGGTGGACAATGGATATGCCCCCTTGGGAGTCCCAATCTGCTCCTAATTTCTGAAATATGCACCACACACACTGCAGAAAAAGAGAAGCAAAAGTTCCCAATATCAGAGGCATCAACAACAAATAAAACAGACCAGAGCTGAGTAGTTTCCACTGCCTGGGAACAAGCAAGGGGTCATGGGAGTCCTCACATGCAGGGAGGGGATTTGGAATGAGAAGAGTGTTGGAAGCAGTGTTTCTCCCTCCCTACAATTAGGACCCTGGAATATCTTTGCCCACTGACAGGCCATGGTCAACACTGAGCCACGTGCCCTGCATGTGTGTGAAGCAGACTCCATCCAGTCTAGTCTGACATGGGCGTTTGTCCAGGTGTGATTGTGAGGCTCACCTTGGAGCCATCCCTGCCAGGCACCTCACAAGTAGATGTTAAGTTTAGTGAGTGCACACAGTGGGGCAGGCGCTTTAGCCCTTTCACATGTGAGTATCAGGAGAGCCTTGGGAAAAACTCTCCATGGACAACTGGGTATGAGGGAGGTGAGTGTTCCACAGGGAATGGACACCAAAGAGATACCCACAGAATGCCACATACTGGTGTGAAAGACTGTCTACAGAGTCACTGAAGGGACTAAGGTTTCTGAGAAAACACTAAGAATATACAAAACTCAATTTTAAAGACTTCATTTATTTATTTTTAGAGAGGAAGGAAGGGAGAAAGAGAGGGAAAGAAACATCAGGGTGTGGTTGCCTCTTACCCACCCCCTACTGGGGACCTGACCTGCAACCCAGGCATGTGCCCTGACTGGCAATCAAACTGGTGACTCTTTGGTTTGCAGGTCAGCATTCAGCCCATTGAGCCACCAGCAGGAGCTATACTAGTTTTTTAAAAACTTGTGTTTTGATTTTTCTTATTGTTCTGCCATGCACAGATATATTTTCTTTTATTTCAATTAAGTCCAATTTCTAATCTTTTTTTTTTGCTGCTGCTGCATCTGGATTTTTAATTACATACTATTTTTATTGTAAACTTTTATTTTCAGCTTTATTGAAATATAATGGAAATATAACTGAATTACGTTTTAAAACTCATGTTTCTTTTACAGGCTTCTGTTGCTCATTTATTTACCTATCTTACATTTAGAAGTATGGTTCTAATTTCATCCTCTTTCCCCCAAGTGCATCTTTGTCTAGTGATTTAATATTTCATCCAATAACACACAAAATTTCCATACTTGAATATACATCTGAACTTTATATTACATCGTCCTTACCTATTATGTCCACATCAAATTGTTTTAGTTACAGAGGAGTTATAGTGTGATAGGGACCACCAAAAAATAGGAGTTGTCTTCTGGAGGGTGGGCCTCTTGTAGTATAGGCTTCCCCTGCTAGGTGAGTGTTCTAGGAACCCATCTGTATCAGTGTACCAGCTGATGTTGTTATGAGAGGCTGTGCTCAGCTTCACTGAATTTGTTTTGAAGACTCAACACACTTGCCCATTTCACTATGGGTGATTTATGAGCGCTGAGTGTCCAGTAGTTTTTGAGCAAAAACAGCATGACCCCAGTGCCCCACCCTTTCTATTCACCTCATCTCACTTTGAGTGAGGTTTTTTTATTCCTAGATGAAAAAAGATTTCAAAGGGAATTGTTTTGCCAATATGGAAGAGCTAAAACAAAAAAGGGCAGAAGTACTAAAAGCATCAAAATCAACAAGTTCAAAAACTGTTTCCAGCAGTTAGAAAAACGTCTCAATAGGTGTTGCATCAAATGGAGAGTACTTTGAAGGTGGCTGAAGTTTAAACATGTAGGAATAAATACACAATATTTTATAAATAAAATCTGGATTTTTTAGCCCCCCTCCTATACTTTCAGTTTCTGGTTGAGCTAGTCCTCCCCTACCTTCACAGCTGTACTTTTTATGGTGTTTTCCTACATTTTCTTAGATTTTTCGTTTTTCCATGTTGGACTGTAGTAACAACTTCTTTAGTTCTTGGTATACTTTGTGGACTGAGGTACATTTATAAATTAAAATATTGGGAGATGATGTCTTTATATGCTCAGTCACCATTTCCCTTGATAAAGCATCTGTCCATCAGTATAAGTCTTTTCTTCTGCTGTTCAGAAGTGTTTTTGAAAGGTATACACATGTGTTTGTAAGTTTTATGCATTTTGTATTACATTTATTCCTTAGAATTTTAAGGTGAGGTTGTGATTTCTTTGTGCGTAGAAAAGCTGTTGGTTCAAATAAGTTAATATTATATAAATTACTTATTTTATTTCATTTTTTACTGTTGACAGACTTTTATCATTGAGTCTCTAGGGTTTTCCAGTATGCTTCCCTTGATATCCCTTCACATATCCCTCCCTGGTATTCAAGGTCTTCAGAAAACTAGCTCATCCTGCCTTTCCATCCCTATTTTCCACTCAATACCCCTACCAGTATAGAACAACTACCAGTCATATAAGGGCAGGTTCTTGCATTGCCAAAAATTCAGTTAAAAAAAAAGGCTATAATCCATTCTAAGTCTTATAATACACCCTGTGTTTTTTCTTGGCAACAAGCCTGGTTGCTGAATTCATAGAGAACCACAAAATTTTGTGAAAATACAGGAATTTTAAAGGTGTATTTAATTTGGAGAGCTTGTGCTACTGCAAAATAATATTTCAAAAGTACAAAACAATAAGAATAAGCTCTAATTCCAGGGCAGGGTTTCAAGAATTTTCTGTAAGAGTGGATGGAACTGGATGACATGTTAGGGCAGCTGGCCCTTTGGTTTTGACCTTTTCTTTCCCTTGGACTTCCGGAACATTCTCACATGCTTCTTTTCCACATCATAGCTAACTGTGTACTCTGTAGGTTCCTCTTATCTGAAGTCTCTGCTACCCCTTAATATATGCAGGAAGTTCCAGGCAAAAACCAATGTTCAATTCTTGTTCTGTCTCATTCAGACAGCTCCCTGCAGATGGTTCAGAAGTGATTTCTACCATTAGAGAGCTACTGTGTTAAGAATTGTGATTGTTTAACTTTCTAAAACAACGTTTTTTATTGAATTCATTGGATGCTGCCTGGAATGATCTGGAACTATGGTCTGCTCTGGGCAGGGATTAATCATGGTTCAGCTGTGTTCTTGAAAGGGTGAGAGGACCTTCTAATTTCAGACTGAAACAAAAGATGGGAGAGAAAAGAGGAAGCAGACATCGAACCAAATGGAGAAATATTTTGTATTAGGGTCCAGAAGACAAAGAAGTAGAGATGTGCCAGAGGGCTGGGAGTCAATTTAACAGAAGCTGAATTAAATCCATTGAATTTAGGGTTCTAGGCACATCTTTTTAGCATCCCATTTTGTATCTCTCTGGGTGAATGCTTGTTTGTAACTAAATCTGGTTGACAGTCTGTAGGCCTCAGGATCATGTGGACAGTGTCCCACTTCAGGGATGTCCATGTGTCTCTCTTCACATTAGTGCAAGGACCTAACCTGAAGCAATTTCATCCCCAAACTGTGAACAAGCTGACAATCCCTGGGGAAAACTAAAAAAAATGGAGGGCTCACAGCCCATGAATACCTTCCAAAGCATTTCTCCCATTGTCCTCAATTGTCAGGAAACAAAAATCAAGCAAGGGAAAAGAAAAGTGTTTGTTTGGGACTAAAAGAAATGGCAAATCCAGGCACACTGATTCACGTAGAAACCAAATTAGTGTCTTACTGGAGAAAAATTCACCATATACATAATATTCTCATCAATTTTCTTTGAACACTCAGATAAGTAGGTCTGAGAAGAGATTTGTCTCAGGACAGAGTGAATCCCTTGGCTGATCCCTCAACCATTGCTTAACTGCACAGAACTCAAAGGGAAAGGGGAACCCAAGGTCCATATTGATCATCTCATGTCCAGTCAGCAGGCATGGGAATAAACTCAGTCCTGGATTAGCTCTAACTCAGACTTCATTTCAAATTCATTCAGCTGAAGGCTATTGTTCTTTAAACAGGGGTATTCTCTGTCTTGAAACTAGTTTTTCTTATTTGCAAGGTGCTCATTGCATGCCCAGTGACCGGTTATGTTGACCTGATGACCAAGTACATGTTATACTAGACTTACTTAAAGAAAATATATGTGGGAGCATATCTGAGGGGGTTTCCCCTTGCCTTTTGGGTATGAGTGAGCTATGGGGTTCAGATTTCCATAAGAATATTGTCTATCAATTGGTCTGTTCTCCAAAGCACTTAATTCCTTCAGGCTTCTAAAGGTCAGAAAGGCCTCAATTTCCATTTTACTCTTTGCATATTTTATGATGTGGCTATTTAATCAGGTTTACACAACCACACCTGCTCTGCATTCAGTTACTCTAGATATATAATTGCCAAATGACCAGATATTGACAGAAGTATTAGGCAAGCCAGATATCAGATACGTGTATGCAAAGAGTCTAAATCCCTCCACCTCTAAACAAATGACAGGAAGGTTTATTGTTGTTTGTCTCCCTAAGGTAGGTTCCAGAATTCCTCCAGATGTGGCTGTTATTCTAAGAGAGGAGAGGGAGGATCAAGATCAATTATATAGATGATATGGAAGGTTGACTGGATGTTGGAAGCCAAGAGCATTTCTCTTCTCTTCTCTTCTCTTCTCTTCTCTTCTCTTCTCTTCTCTTCTCTTCTCTTCTCTTCTCTTCTCTTCTCCTCTCCTCTCCTCTCCTCTCCTCCCTCTCCTCCCTTCCCTTCCCTTCCCTTCCCTTCCCTTCCCTTCTGTTCTGTTCTCTTCTCTTCTCTTCTCTCTCTTGTCCTCCTCCAAATCCTCCTTCTCCCACTCCTCCCTTTCCTCATTCCCTTCCTTTCTCTTCATATATCCTCTCTCTTACTTCCACTCCTTCCAGACACACACATAGACAATGTATCTTTATTGTGGATATGCTTCTTTCTCTTCTTCTCAACAGTCGTTGAGTCAGCAATGCTTCCACTTCCTCATTTTCATTTTCTTATCTTAATGTAATAACAGAATCCACTGAAAAGCCTCAAGGACTCCCTGGGATCTTTTTGTCAGGTGGAGAGTTCTCTTGAATTGAGACACTTTGTTTGCATTTTAAGGATTTAAGGTGCTGATTTTCTCTCTTTTTAACTTTTATTTTATTGTTGTTCAAGTACAGTTGTCTCCATTCCCCCCCCCCACACTCCCTCTGACCCCAGCCATGCCCACCTCCCTCTCTGATTCCACCCTCCTTGGTTTTGTCCAGGTGTCCTTTAGAGTTGTTCCTGAAACCCTCTTTTTCCCCTTTTCCCCCATTATCCCCTCCTATCTCCCCTCTGGTTACTGTGAGTTTGTTCTTTATTTCAATGTCTCTGGTTATATTTTGCTTGCTTGTTTGTTTTGTTGGGTAGATTCCACTTACAGGTGAGATCATATGGTATTTGTCTTTCACCACCTGGCTTATTTTGCTTCACATAATGAATGGATCAAAAGACTATGGTACATTTACATGATGGAATACTATGCAGAAAAGAGAAAGAAGGAGCTCCTACCCTTTGTGACAACATGGAAGGTGCCAATTTTCTAATACCCAGCATGGATTCAGAGGACATGAGAGCATCTATAACTGGCATTGCTCCACACAGGCACACACGCCAGTCTCTCCATCTCTTTCTGTGATCATTTTTACCCCCATGCCTTTGGATTTTGGACAAGATTCTGGAACTTATCAGCATATCAAGTCACAACTTGTTAGCTGAGAGGAACCCATCATGTTAGATGCATCTAAGTATTCTTTTTGCTCAGTACTGATTTTGAGGTAGTGAACAGTGCCCTTGATTTTTGAATGTGGGAGACTTCTTTTTTGTTTATTCATTTGTTGAGTATTTATTTTATTATTTTATTTTATTGTTGTTCAAGTACAGTTTTCTGCATTTACCCCCTACCCCACCCCTCCCACCACAGCCATCCCCAATTCCCTCCCTTGATTCCACCCTCCCTTGGTTTTGTCCATGTGTACTTTACAGTTATTCCTGAAAACCCTCCTCCCTTGGCCCCCATTATCCCCTCCCACTTGAGCCTAGCCCATCACCTGTGTATGGAACCAAGCTTCTCACTGCACCAAGACTTTTTTTTGCCTCCCATTGCTAACTCCCATCTCAACTCTCAACACCTTCTTCTTTATCCCACACACTGCCATCAAACTTAAATGTTAAATTTCTGTACCCTTAATATTATTCCATCAATTTGAATCTTTGCACATACTGCTTCCTACAAGACCTCTATTCTCCATGTATTAGAAAAGTCCTACTTATTTTCTTATATTTTATTATAGGTTTTTCAAAATTTACAAAACCTTGGGATATCCTGTTTTACTTTACCTTTTTAAAGAGTTTCCAAGACAGCTCTGGTTGGTGTGGCTCAGTGGATTGGGTGCCAGCGGTGAACTTCAGGGTTGCTGGTTTGATTTCTAGTCAGGGCACATGCCTGGGTTGCAAGCTGTGTCCCCAGTAAGGGGAGTATGAGAGGCAACCACACACTGATGTTTGTCTCCCTCTCTTTCTCCTTTCCTTCCCCTCTCTCTAAAAATAAATGAATAAAATTTTTTTTAAAAAGAAAATAATAGATCAGCTGGTTGAAGGTGTCATCTAGTCTGTTCCCAGCATCAACATCTGAGCTTCAACTTACTGTCCACGGGTAATGTTGATTGTGATGGTGTTGATGGTGGTGATGATGGTGATGATAGTGATGATGACGGTGATAATGGTAATAGTGATGATGATAATAGGTACAATTAATATATCTTGAGTAAAACTCATATGCCAGGCTCTACTCTTTCTAAGCCAGGGGTTTCAAAACTAAGGCCAATGGGCCAAGTCTACTCCCTCATTCTATTTTTATAAATAAAGTTTCATTGAAACACATTGTTCATTTACATATTTCCCATAACTGCTTTCACACTGCAATGGTAGAATTGAGTCATTGAAACAGAGATCTGAAGACCCACAAAGCCAAAAATATTGAGTATTTGACTCTTTGCCTATAAAGGTGGTGACCCTCGTTCTAAGTGGTTTAGACACATTACCCATTCAAAGTTCCCAGCAAGCTAATGGGATTGGCACTCCTACTCTCCCAATTTTATGCATGTTGAATTTGAGATACAGAATTTAAGGACCTTTCTCAGAGTTCCCAACAGCATTATCAGTGCACCTGGGCTTTAATACACAGCATCAGACTACAGCGTTGAAGTGCTTGGTCACTCTGTAGTGACCCTTCGTATGTGGCCTAAAAGGTCAGAAGCCCATCACATCCACACCCCTCTCACCTGGTTTTAAAAGTCCAATCAGATTCCTGGATTCCTCTCCAGATCTGAGCCTGGGTTGACATTTCAGACAGTCTGATGTTTCCCCCTATGGTTTCAGGTATAAAGCCTATTGGGACACTATCCTGCTGTTGTGTCCTGATGTTGTGCTGGGACCTCTCTATGATATTTTCATGTTGTACTGAGAATGTTGTTTACAGTTTTGGGCTAAGGGGAACTATGCTCTTCTCCTGTTTTCCATGACTGTATCTTTGGGCAGATGTGCAAGTGATTCTCTAGGGCATATCTTCTCCAGGTGTGAGACTGCTTATCGTAGCTGCCCATCACTTGCCCTGACCCAGAAAAGTCCCCAAGTTGGCTGAACCCATTTGTACACTTACCAAGTAGTGTGTGACATGGTACTTGCTCCACCCTCTCTCCAAAATTAACATCAAAATGAAAACAAACAAACACGTGTTTATCATCCCAGAACTCACAATCTTGTTTAATTGGCACCACAGCCCTGAAGGAGCCATCAACCCTACCAGTCACACAGGAGACACGAGAGGCTCACAGATAAGCTGCCACTTGCATGGGGCCATGCAGGAGAGTGTGGACTCCAAGTACAGATGTTGCAGGAGAAGCCACATAGGAAGCACCTGGTGAAGAGAAAGGAGCTTGCAGAATCCAGACACGGTGCTGGGATAACATTCTGAGCTTGCACCTTCCAAGCTGGACGTACATTTTAGTCCATTGGCTTAATTACTCAACCATGTTACCTGAGTCTCTGCACTTAGAAGGGGAGGCAAAGAGCAACTCACACCAGGGAATGTGGGTATCATAAACAAGATATTCACAACACAGTGTAGGAATAGAGCATGAGACAGAGTGAAATAGTGGGCACAATCTCCTCATGTGGATGTAGCATTGCGTTATTGAGATGGTGGAATGAGAGAAGCCAAAAACTGAGGAGATAGCAAGGCATGGGCAATGTTCATGATGGAGGAGCCTTCCCCAAGGAGCAACTGCAGCCCCTGTCATTACCTCCAGCAGTAATCACACTGTATCAATTGTTTAGGTCCTCAGCACCGAGTTCACACTGTTTGTGGCTCCAACTTTCTGAACCTTCATTGTCATCATACCTTGCATGTGTGATTTTGATCTAAGTCTCTGTTGCAAATCCTGAGGCATGTGTGTGCTTCATCTTCAGTTCACCTGTGAGAACCCTCTTCGACTGTGCCACTCTTGATACACCAACACCCCTAGCACCACCAGGACCAAGGCAGACAGACCTATGCGGATGAGATTCTCCACTGTGTAATCTGGGCATTGAGTGCCTGGGGACAGGGAGGAAAAGGTCATGGTGGGTAAGGCAGGTCACACTCAAAATGGCAGCCGGGGCAGATGCTTAGACCCCCACCCCCTTGAACATCCCAGTCCACAAGCCGAACAGGTTCAGTTACTTACCACTTGTGGCATTTGGGGTCTGCACTGATGGGGTGACAGTAGAGGGAGCCCCTGAGAATCAGGAAATCAGAGAGGGTGAGGAGCCAGAAGCCTGCCAACCCAGCATTCACTCAAGGATCTGGCTAATGTCTCCCTGCTCACACACATTTTCATCTACTTCCACCATGATGCCTTCCACCACTCTAGGTGAGGAGGCAACCCTCCTGTCTCTGATTTCCTCACATTTAGACCTAGCTTTCAGGTCTTAAAAACAAAAAGGGTTTATCCACACACACCTCATGCCACAAGCTAAGAGTGAACATGTTAAAAAAAACCCCTTGAAATTTAGCATTTATGTGGTCTCTGATCATTCTGGTGCATTAGTCCAATCTAAACATAATCTCCTGAAAATTAGAGTCTTGAGGTAATTCTCAGATGACAGTCCTGGGTCCATGAATGAGAGGTTGTTGCCCAGGGGTTACTGAGTGTCAGGGAGAAAAGGTGTGAACACTTGGGGTGAAACTCTTTGCCCAAACTCAAGCAGCTGTCTCCACTCCTGAGTCTGCAGTGAATACCTGCAACTGATTTTCTTCTGTTATTTCATTTACACATTACTTACTGATTCACTTTCTAAAGTGTTATAGGCTATCTAGAAATAGATTTATGTACATATGTATCTATATACATGTATATATAACATATATTATATATGTATATTCACATATGGTGTATATTTATACATAAATATGTGAATAATAGGTATAGTTGTATACATATGTATATAATATATATGCATTGTATAATATATTTTATATGTATAAATATGAGGAGACATGTATATTAACATATACATGAGTGTGTGGGCACATGCATACCTACATGTATGTATTGGTAATGATGATAAAGAAAAATTAATATTATTAAGTAAAATGTGTAACAGATAAGTCAGATCTATGATTATGAAAATATACAATGTAGTAAGAATTGGTTAAACACTTTAAAAATGATGAAAGGTATTAAGAGTATATAGGGTCCCCAGCCAATTTAGGAAAAGATTTTAAAATCAGAACCTTGAGAGTAAATAATGAGTAAAATAATGAACCACATGAAAAGACTGCTGACATTTGTCACATAACAAGTTCCCATGTCCTCTGCCTAAGCTGTTTTACTCTAAAAACTTAACCACGATGTAAAGAATTGTTGTTTTTACATACACCTGTTTTTTACATATGTACCAAACATTCATTGCAGGGTGGGTTGCAATATAAAATGGTTGGCAACAAACAAAATGCCAAATTTTAGAGCATTGGTTAAATGCAACTTGCTCCTTCCAAGCAAGGGAATACTAGACAGCCATTAAAATGTCTAAAGTGGCTCTGGCTGGTGTAGCTCAGTGGATTGAGTGCTGGCCTGTGAACCAAAGAGTTGCTGGTTCAAATTCCAGTCAGGGCACATGCCTGGGTTTCAGGCCAGGTCCCCAGTAGAGGGTGTGGGAGAAGTAACCACACATTGATGTTTGTCTCCCTCTCTTTCTCCTTCCCTTCCCCTATGTCTAAAAATAAATACATAAACTATTGTTTAAAAAAACTCTCAAGTGGACTGATATGTATGGATACCAGACCGTTCTTTAAAATGTATTAACTTCATTTTTTAAACATAGAGCAGTTCAGAACAGTGTCTATTAGATGCTGGTCTTTGTCTATGCACAGAGCAGTGGTTATAGGATCTCCTTGAATATTTGGGAGAAAGGTAGAAGAGTGTGGTCAGTGGCTGACATTGTTGGGGAAACTGAGGAATGAAACCAATGCTAACAGAGAGTGAAAGGTGCTATACTCCCTGTTCACCACTTGGGAACAATTTCAGCTATCTGTCATGTCCATGCATTGCCATTGAAGGAGAAAGAAGGAGGAGGAGTAGGACAAGGAGAAGGAGAAAAACCACAGGACCTGGAGAAAGAAAGGCCTCCTTGTTTTTTTTCCATGATGATGCATTCCCCACATGAGAATGAGTGCCTAGTGGCAGACGGCAGTGCCTGGATTCAGAAGAGGGTGGAGGAGGGACAGACAGACATGGGGCATGGAGGAAGGTAGTTGGCTGCAAGCTCATCCAGACACCGCAGTAGTTGGAAAGGAAGGAAAACACCCCAGACAGCTCCTCACCTTCCACCTTGAGCTCCAGGGGGGTTGCTGGCATTTGACAACAGGAAGGGCGCACTGTTGAGTGACCCATAGCACCTGTAAGTGCCCCCGTGGTCCAGGGTGGCGGGGCTCATGGGGAAGTTTGCCTGAAACACCCCATCCTGGGACCAAGCCCTGATGTGCAGAAGGGGGCCGACTACCCCTGCCTTGAGCAGAAGAAACCCATCAAACAAGCTCCCAGTCTGACACCTCAGGGTCACATTCTCTCCTAGGGCCACGGTGGGGCTTGGCTGGGCTGACAGAGTGGGTGACATGTTCTGGGGGAGCAAGGTTGAGAGAGAGAAGACCTCGGTGTTAGGGGCCGCTTCGTCCTTGTCCACCCATCCCTGGACCTCAACTGAGATGACACTCTGAGTGTGAACTGGTGAGGGAGCTCCTCACCTGCCACCAGGATGTCCAGGGGGTCACTGGGGGCCGACCACTCAGAGGAGAGACTGTGTCCACTGTAGCACCTGTACCCGCCCCCGTGGGAACCGTTCACCCGGCCCAGGGAGAAGTCGGTCTGAGAGAGCCCAACCTGGGGCTGCCAGCCAAGTTGCTGGGGGAGCTCCTGTTCCCCATCTTTGGACAGAGTGAAATCTGTCACAGCTGACATCAGAGAGACACTGGAGGGTCACTGTGTCTCCAGGGGCCACCACGGGACCTGGCAGCACGGAGAGGGATGGTTTCCTAGACACACCTGGAGGAGAGGGAGCTCATGTTTGTAAGAGAGTCAGGCTTCCTACTCTCCCCTCCCTCCTGGGTCTCCCCACTGCAGATTCTGGTGTGTCACAGGCTGCTGGAGCCCTGAGCTCTCTCACTATAACCTCATCCTACCCAGTGCCCTCACCTGAGATGAGGCTCTGCTCCCCTGCCTGGAGAGCCAGGGAGTTCTGGGGGAATGCTGCGAGTTTCTCACCTGAGATCAGGAGCTCCAGGACGTTGCTAGAGGAAGACCACACACAAGGAGAACCTGAGAATGCACCATAGCACCTGTACATCCACCTGTGACTTGGGTTCACAGGCCCCACAGTGAAAAGGGCCCAGGACCACCCATCAGCTCGATGCTTTGAGGCCAGGCTTTTGAATTCGCTGTTTCTGCCTTCATTAGACAAAAAAAAACCAGTCGAATCCCTGCCAGGAGCCACAATGCAGGGTCACACTGTCTCCTGAGGCCACGATGGGGCCTGACCAGGCTGAAAGGCTGGGTGGGTCAGACATTCCTGGAAGAGAACAAGCCAGAAGTGTCAAAAGAGGAGACAATACTTGAGGACATTGTGCTAAGTGAAGCGGGCCAGTCACAGGAGGGCAAACACTGCACGATTCCACTCATCTGATTGATGAAGCAGAGAGCACAATCAATGGTGGTCAGGAGGGGCTGGGGAGAGGGGCAAGTGGGGGAGTTTCACAGAGATAGAGTTTCAGTTTTGTAAAATGGTTAAGGTCTAGACATCTGCTGGACAACATCGTGACTATACCTAACAACACTGCACTGTGCACTTTAAAATTTAACAGTTTGGGCCCAGGCTGGTGTGCCTCAGTGAATTGAGTGCTGGCCTGTGAACCAGAGTCAACAGTTCGATTTCCAAGTCAGGGCACATGCCTGGGTTGCAGGCCAGGTCCCCAGTAGGGGGGTGCACAAGAGGCAACTACACAGTAATGATTCTCTCCCTCTCTTCCTCCTTCCATTCCCCTTTGTCTAAAAATAAATAAATAAAATCTTTTTTTTTAAAAAAATGGTGAATGGATTAAGAAGTACAGATTGGCAGTTACAGAATAGTCACTGGGATATAAAGTACAGCATGGGAAATACAGTCAATAATATTGTAATATCTATGGATGGTGCCAGGTCAGCACTGGATTTAATGGGGGATCACTTTGTAAGTCATATGTCTAATCACTATGCTGTACACATCTCATGTTAAATAAGTTCTTACCATAATAAAAGTGGAGAGCAAAAGAGAGGGCCATCACCCCCACATTGTCAACAGGACTTCGCTGTGGAAAGAGTGGTCCCTCCCAGGGCACAGCCACCTCACCTGTGCCCAAGAAAGTGTCTGCTCACCTGTGCCCACCAGGTCCAGAGGCTTGCTGGGAACAGACCAGCTTGCTTGGCTTTGATACCTGCAGTGGTATCTCCCGGCAAGGTCTTGGGTCATGAGCAGGATGTGGAACTTGACTTTGCCTCTGGGTCTCTGTGGAAACTTTTTTCTCCAGGGCTGCAGGACCCGCTCCCGGTGAAGGTAGTACCCTTTAGCTTCCTTAGACCCCCTGACACCAGATGCTCACAGGTCTCCCCCGAGCAACAACAGGGCTCGGTTTCGCCCAGATGGTGGGTTTGGGCAGTGTCCCTAGAATAGAAGCAGAGGTGGCAGTCCCCATCTTCTCTGTGCCTCAGTTTCCCCTAGCTCTCAGCCTCAGGGCTCCTCACACAAGTTCTCTATTCATCAGTTTAGAATTCCTCTCCTCCCTCTATCCTCCAGATACCCTGGAAAGGGGAACGGGTGTTTCACTTTGTCCCCAAGGAGGATGCAGGACCTGGGAGACCTGGGGATACACTCACCTGTCTGCAGGTAGGTCTCCTGGTCCAGACACAGTCCTGGAAGAGAGACCTCAGTAAGAGGACACCAATTCCTGAGCAGACTCCACCTTCCCTGAGACGTCAAGTTCATGAGGTCTTACGAGAGATCACCTCCCTGCATAGGCACTCATCCCTTTCTGCCCACAGCTCACCGAGGCAGAAGAAAGCAGCAGACACGATGGTCATGATGCTGCCTCCCGCTGGAGAAGGCTGTGCAGATGGGAAATACCATGGGACTTGGCAGAGAATACAGACCCACATGGTGTGGGCAGATGGAGGCTTCCCCATCACCAGGCTCGGAGGAATGCAAGAGAGGCTCCTTCCTGGTGCTCTCGAGGGTTCCTGTTTCCCTGCTGACAACTGAGACCAGATGTGAGATGTTACTCTGCTTTGAGCTTGTGCCTACTGGGCATGACCTCCGTCGTGGAGAGACAGGGTGGGGACCCAGGTTCCACCCCTTAGTCAGCCTCCTAGGGTCACGTAAGCTGGGTGCACCAGAAAGGGGGAACACCACTTCCCCTCTCAGGATCTCCATATAGGAGAACCTCTTTCTGTCTTTCAGCCAATCATCTGGCAAATGTCTATTTTTTAAAAAGATTTTATTTATTTTATTTTTAGAGAAAGGGGAAGGGAGGGAGAATCAGAGGGTGAATAATCTCAGTGTGTTTGCCTTTTGTTTACCCCCCTTCCTGGGGCCCTGCCCACAACCCAGGCATGTGCCCTGACTGGGGATCGAACCAGAGACCCTTTGCTTCTCAGGCTGGCGCTCAATCCACTCAGATACACCAGCCAGGGCCAAATGTCTGTTTGAACCCCTAGATTTTTCCAGGCCCTGGATGTCCATCTGTGAACCAGAGAGAGGGGGTCAGAGTGCTGCCCAAGATCGGATTATTGGAAGAGAGATAGACAGTAACTAATTTCATGGTGAATTACTTGTTCAAAGAAGAGAAATACATCAAAATATGAGAAAGTGTGTGACAGGAGGGAAATCTGAGCTGTATATTGTGAAAAGTAGGAAGCTGGTACCCATCCTCACAGTGGTGTCCTTCAGAATAGATTGTGTCCTACCATCGCTGGTCATCAGGAAAACACAGCCAGTAACTAAAAGGGATAAATGGATAAACTGAAATCATGTGAGAACTAGAGCAAAATGGTGGTTAGCTTCTTTATACCTTGAGAGTGGGGAATGACTTTCAAACATGATACAGAATTCTCAATAAATTTGAGTTTGTTGAAACCTGTATGGTTTTGTGAACCAATGCCACCCCAGTAAAAAAAATTTAAAAAAAATAGCCTTTTCAAGGAAAAAATAAGTGCCTAACCCAATTTGGGAAAACATAGAGAGAATATACATATTACATATATTGTAATACAGGGATTGGCAAAAGTAGGTTTACAGTTGTTTGGAATAAATATTACAATATTGATTAATAAGTAATAATACAAGAATAAACTCTGTGTTTTGCATACTTACAACTGCAAACCTACTTTTGCCCACTCCTGTATAATATAATATAATAGTATAGTATAATAAGAGTTAATCTCTATATATTTATGTGTCTACATATATACATACATAACACAAAAGGGTTAATTGTGTAAAAGGGTTAATTTGCTCAATCTACTAAGTTAGAAAAAAGACTGGGTTTCATTTTCATGCCATGATTTTTAATACTGAAATAAATTTATGTAAATAAATTTCATAATTTCTTTTCCTGCATGATATGAGAAATGGACATAACTTACCATCCTATGATTTTTTCTAATGTTACCAACATAACTTGAAGATAGCACATACAGACTTCTGGTTCAAGATGGAGGCATAGGTAGATACACTTCCTCTCCTCCCACCACCAAAAGAAGGACAACAACAAGTTTAAAAAACAAAAAATAACCAGAACTGCTAGAAAATTGAACTGTATGGAAGTCCAACAACCAAGGAGTTAAAGAAGAAGTATTCATCCAGACCAGTGGAGGCGTGGAGATGGAAAGCTGGGGTGGAGAGGACTCATGGCATGGTGGTGGCTGGCAGGGTGAGCAGTCCCACATTTGCATGTGGATAAACTAGGAGGAACAACTGGGGAGCGAGACAGACCTCTCAGCCCAGAGTTCCAGCGTGGGGAAATAAAGCCTCAAAATTTCTGACTGAAAAAACCTGTGAGGGTTGAGGCAGCAGGATAAACTCCCAGCCTCACAGGAGAGTTCATTGGAGAGACCCACAGGGTCCTAGAACATATACAAGCCCACCCACCTGGGAATCAGTACTGGAAGGGCCCAATTTGCTTGTGGGAAGCTGAGGAAGTGACTGTGAGTCAGCAGAGAGCTGAGCAACCAGCATTGTTCCCTTTCAGACCTGTCCTCACATACAGCACCATATCGCAATGTGGGTTGCCCTACACTGGTGAATACCTAAGGCTCCATCCCTTACTGCATAACAGGGGCACCCAGACAAAAAAATATGGCCCAAACGAAAGAACAGATCAAAGTTCCAGAAAAAAATACAATTAAGTGATGAAGAGATAGTCAATCTATCAGATGTAGAGTTCAAAACACTGGTAATTGGGCTCTCCCAGAAATGGTTGAGTATGATCACAAAATAGAGGAAAAGGTGCAGGTTATGAAAAGTGAAATAAAGGAAAATGTACAAGGAACTAAGAGTGATGGGAAGGAAACTGGGACTCAAATCAATGGTTTGGACCAGAAGGAGGAAATAAACATTCAACCAGAACAGAATGAAGAAACAAGAATGCAAAAAAATGAGGAGAGGCTTAGCAACCTCCAACACAACTTTAAACATTCCAACATCTGAATTATAGGGGTACCAGAAGGAGAAGAGGAAGAGCAACAAGTGGAAAACTTATTTGGACAAATAATAAAGGAGAGCTTCCCCATTCTGGCAAATGAAATAGACTCCTAGGAAGTCCAGAAAGCTCAGAGAGTCCCAAAGAAGTTGGACTCAACAAAGCACACACCAAGGCACATCATAATTACATTATCCAAGATCAAAGATAAGGAGAGAATCTTAAAAGCAGCAAGAGAAAAGGAGACAGTTACTTACAAAGGAGTTCCCATCAGACTGTCAGCTGATTTCTCAAAAGAAACCTTGCAGGCAAGAAGGAGCTATAAAGAAGTATTCAAAGTCATGAAAGGCAAAGGACCTACATCCTAGGTTACTCTATCCAGCAAAGCTATCATTTAGAATGGAAGGGCAGATAAAGTGCTTCCCAGAGAAGGTCAAATTAAAGGAGTCCACCATCACCAAGCCCTTATTATATGTTAAAGGGACTTAGCTAAGAAAAAAAAAGAAGATAAATAATATGAACAGTAAAATGACAATAAATTCACAAATATCAACAACTGAATCTAAAAAAAACAAAAACCAAAAACCAAAAATGAACTAAGCAAACAACTAGAACAGGAACAGAATCACATAAATGGAGATTACATGGAGGGTTATC